TTTGTTTAAGACGGGGAGCGTGGGCGTTCCTTCAGTTTGTTTTGGATTTGCAGTGGCCGTTAGCCAAAAGTCAGCATTTTATGATGCAATGCAACAGTGATTTTGAACAATGAATTCTATACTGCAAGAATTTGTGTTTATAATGGCACTAAAGGACACTAAATTTTGTTTTTTACATACTTTACTGACTTCCGCACCAAACTATAATCAAAGGTGGGGATTGAGAAGTGAAAAATAATGCTTCGAAGAATTGAGCTTGCAAATGTGAAAATTTTTTTGTTGGTCATTTCCTGATACGTGGTAAACCGTAGTATGATCAACAGAACAAAGGGAATTTTTTTGGGTCTGGTCTGTGAACTCTTGTGCTGGTTTGTAAGCAAATGTATTATTTATCTCTGGTTTGCCTTTAATTATGTAGAACACATAATCCTGCACTCACTGCGCTATGATTTTATTTGTTTTCATGTGAGCTTACAGCAGTATAAATTTGAGTGCAGGCATACTTCACACGATAGTGTTTCATCGGGCTTTAGGTCTTGTACGGCCCAAAGACGTTGATTTGGAACTTTTTGAAATTACATATGTAAGTTTTTTATGCTCCAAATATTGGTTCTTTGGTGCATCATGCATGTCAGTTAACAAAGTTCAAGTCTGAATGTTAGTTTTTTTCCATTCAGTATAACATTTTCGCAGGTGCATGTTAGTTAACATAAATAAACTTTGAATGAATTTTCCAACTGCAAATTCTGTTGCAATCTTAATGACACCTCAACAGGAAATGAAGTTCCTTCATCATGTTTTTTATGTTTGCCTAGTAATTTTGGCATCAGATTTCTTTACTTGTGTGTTACTTTTCTGAGATGAATCTTCATGATTGTAATGGTTCCACATTCTAAATAATCCTCAATGTGGGATTGAGCTAAAGGCTACACTCTGATCTTTAGCCCTTGATATGCATGGTTATTATACATGCACCCTTTTTATTATTATTATTATTTTTGGGTATAGGTTCAATGTGGTGATATGGAACTTGAGAAGAAAATAGATGAGAAGATTGAGCAATTCATTAGTTGGGTAGAAAAACACCCAAACAAGAAAAGTCAGGTTTGTGCTTCTCATTTGCTTTAACTAATCATACTATTGCAGTTAGAATTTATTTATGCTAGGAGACGGAATTCTTCAACCAAGATTTTTGGATCACTTCTTTGATTTCTCATCCAAAACTTTATCCAGTTATATCCTCCCATTGTTCCATTAAAGCTTTTCATCAGTATCAAAGTATTTTTCTGCAAGAACTCCTAATAAACTGCCATCATTTGTGATGCAGATCATCTTGTCTTTCTTTGAAGTAAAAAACAAACAGCCAAGTTGGTTCACTCATAAAACAGAAAGGCTACAGTGGGAACAGTGGTATATAAATTTGAATGTGGCCCAACACCCCAAAGCACATTCTGGCAAATCTCATAATTCTAAAGTTGTAGTTGATCCAGGAGGTACAGTTACTATTGTGAACTGAATTTATAGTTTCTAATGCTTCACTTTCAGGAAGCCATGCTGACCCTCACCTTTACATTTGTTTGATGTATGAGTGCAGAGAGTGCATTGGAAGAGAGAATGGCTCGCAGAGCCGTGCTTGAAGCATCTCTTCATGAGGTTTTGTTCCAAATAATAAAATTTGTGAATGAGAAGAAAGATCATGTTCCCCCTATACCGAATCTTGAGGGTGTAGTCTGGTTTCCCCATGAGATTACTATCCCAAGGTTGGTTCTCCTTTTGTTCATATATGTTTTCAAACATGGCACGCATAGCTTACATCTTCTCTTTGAGTGAGGAAAAACAATCGCAGTTTGACACTAAGAATATTTTTTCACCTTAATTTATGTAATTGTCTTTGCAGACATTTGTTAAGGCAGAATGGGGTTGGTAGTTCTCTGATGCGATCAATTGAAATGCAGTAATTTTACTATGAAATGCCTTACTGCCAAAAAAGATACTCTGTGAAAATAGAATTTTAAGTTACTATATTGTAGGTACTGAGTACTGACAATTAATTAATACAAAATTTGGCAAAGTATTTTGTTTAAAAGGTTAATACAAAATTGTGGACTGGTTACTTAGTAATGAGTAATAGATTAGTCACCAAATTGTAAGTTCTGAATCTTCAAGCCTGATGTAGGTCTACTTTATTACGACTTACGTATCATAATGTGACTTGGTCATAGCAGTTTACACCTGCTCCATCTACCAAAAGCAGCACGCTGTTGTAACATTAGGTTGGAGTGCAAATGTCTCATTAACAGACAGATGAGTCCTTGTTCTTTGCAAACTGACGAATATGGCTGACTGCACCTAACATCTTGCTCTTGTTTTCTTAACAAGAAGTAGTAGTAGTAGTTGTTGTTGTTGTTGTTGTCAATGTTATGACTGTTTAGAAAATTTCTCCAAATCTCATATGATTAGACTGCTGAGTTAATATTGCGATGCCCTGTTCAGTTCCTCGGATTCTGCATTTGGAATGGACATGATCAAAAGGATGCTGCAGACTGGCCATCCAACCATGCTTAGCTGATTAGTTTCGTGAGCTACTTACGCGCCGCTTTGCTGATCTGCTTCTGAAAGTAAGTTGATTCTCATGTTCACGGTGACTTGAAACGCACATGAATGTGTCTAGTCGGTAACCTTTTTCAAGCAAGGTTTGTTTGTATGTAAAGAAGTGAATTCTAAGTGGGTAGATTGCCCTTTCTTTATGTAAATGTTCTTCCCTTCCAATTCTGTTTCCATTTATCTTTATCCTTTCTGGCACGTCCATTGCGACTTGTACATATTTTATGGTTGGGTTTGCTCCTTCACTGATGGTGCACAAGTTGTCCTCAACCATAATATTGGCACGTGATCTATTTTTTGTGTTTAAATCTTGAGAGATAGTGGCTTTTTTAAAATTTAAAAAAAAAAAAAAAAAGAAACAAAAAAAGATCTCCCTATACACACGAGCCAATACATATAATTTGTAATTCGGAAAAACCAAAGAAAGATCCAAGCAGGCCAACCAAGATATTGAACCAGCAGACTCATAATAAAAGCTGCCAATATGAATCAGAAGTGGAGTTAAAAGCTTGATAATGAGGTAATTAAAAAGCAAAGAAGGAGGTGGGTGGAGTTGAATCACAATGAAAAGCTTGATAGTAGTGGGAGCGTTAAAGAAGAAAGTTGGAGAGGAAGAGGACAAGGAGAAAACGGATAAGTTAATTGGGATTCATTATCTCGAATTAATAACCACTTTTTTCTTCTACTGCTTATGTGGCAGAATTTCAACACTGAATTCGACAAATCAGAACAAATCGACAAATCAGAGAGAAACAAAAGGACACGTCTCCATTAATAATTGAATTTCACCGGTCGCACGTAAACTCTAAAGGGTGTATCCAATTTTAATTTTTAATAAATTTTAATGAGTTTAAATGTCTTAATATATTTAATTGTTACTTTTAAATAGTCTTTAAAAATTGGGTCATGTTAGGGAGATTAATTTTACATACCAACTTGTGTACTATCTCTCTAATAGAGGTAGAGCCACTAATATAATGGGTCACACGTTCTATTAGAGAGATGGTACATAAGTTGGTATCTAAAATTGGTCTCCTTAGCATTTTCCTTAAAAGTTTAGTTGTATTCAATTGTGAGTTTTAAAGAGTATTTAAAAGTTTTGAGGTATCTCAAATGTCAATGACTTTTAAAAGCTTTGTTCAATAAATGACTTTTCAATACTTTTAAAGCTAATTCTTACTACCAAAAGTCTTGCTAATTTACACCAGACCTTATGAAAGTATTGGGAAGATAGAAACAAAACGTCTCCGATTCTTTTTTCCCTCATTATATCAAGCAGCAAGCAGAAAGATCTTTTTTCTTCATGGTTAGGAGTCTACTTTGGTATCCCATCTTGTATTATGGTTTATTCACCTTCGTTGAAATGAATCATGGCTAAGCTCACTTAAAAAAAATGAATCATGGCTAAGCCTTTTTTTTTTTTTTTTTTTTTTTAATAATTTTAAAAACTGAATCATGGCTAGCTGAACGCCAATCATGGTACATGTACTTTTTCATTTTATAATTGTCATTTTTTTCATTTTCTAATGTTAAGGAGAATTATTCTTTGTTTTTACGTAATTGTATCCAATTGTTTTTTTTTTCTTTCTAATTTTTTGTTCCATGTATGTCCACTAGTTAATTCAACATATTAAAGATAAATGCTATTTGTAAAATAAATATAAAAATAAGTATTTAAAAGTCTATAAAACTCTATGACAAAAGTATATGAAAGTTTGTGACTTAACTTTATAAAGTACGTAAAAGTCCTGGCAACTCTAAGAAAGTTATTCACTTAAAAAAAATCTATAAAAGTTAGAATTGGATACACCCCTATGTCAGAAAAAGTTGACAATGCAATTGGCAAATTTGGAAAAATAAAGCCAGCCCATACTTCATGTCTTTGTCTCGATTGTCCTCTTGCTTTAGAGCAAGCTCTGCCCTAGCAAAAGGCCAAGAAATGCAGCTCCAACAAGTACATAACAGTCCAGATGAGGCGTGGGCTCTAACAAGCTCTAGCAGCCCCGAAGGCAAAAACAGCTCGAGCTGGCTATGACGTTAGTGCTAACTTTAGAAACGAAAAGAAATTTAAAAAACTGAAAAATTACTGAAAAATTACCAAATAATTCAGAATAATTTTTCTTATGCATACCTAGCAATTTTTTAATATTATTAATATCATATATATAAATAAAATTAATCATATGTGAATAGTAATTGTCCTTTGGTTGCCATAGCAATGGGTAAAAAAGCAACAAAAATATTGCTAGGGCAGATACTATTCGCGTGAACAGTAATGGACCTTGTCTCCCCTTCTCTTTTGCCATGACAAATGGGTGGAAGTGTTCTTATATACCTACTTATTATAAGCTGCCGAACAAGAAAGGCAGAGAGAGAGAGAGAGAGAGAGAGAGAGAGAGAGAGAGAGAGAGAGAGAGAGAGGTAAATGGAGAATCCGAAACACTTTGTTTTGGTTCATGGAATTTGCCATGGAGCATGGTGCTGGTACAAGCTTGTCACTCTCCTCCGGGACGCCAGTCACCGTGTCACTGCCTTGGACCTTGGTGCTTCTGGGATCAACTCCAAGCAGCTACATGAGATCACTTCCGTTTGGGACTATGTCCAGCCATTGATGGAGTTCATGGCTTCTATTTCGCACGAGGAGAGGGTCATATTGGTTGGCCATAGTTATGGCGGCCTTCCTATATCTCTGGCCATGGAAAGCTTCCCTCAGAAGGTTTTGGCTGCTGTTTTTGTCACAGCCTATATGCCTCATTACAATTCTTCCCCTGGAGTTCTCATACAAGAAGTAAAAAAAAAAAAAAACTTCTTACATTCTTACCAACTTCTTATTTTATCTATTGTGAATCTGCTATGCTCATTTCAATCTCTTTGTTTTTTTTTTCATGTGATGGAAAACAAAGTACTTCAAAGGGACTCCAGTTGAATCATTATTGGATTGTGAGCTTAAGTTTGGCCAAAACCAGGGAAATCCACTAACCTCAGTTGTCTTTGGTCCACAATACATGGCAGAAAAATTGTTCCAGCAGTGCAAACCAGAGGCTAGTTTCTTATGCTGATTAATTTATAATGATGAAATGACTATATAATTAACAACAAAGTTGTATTTTAGTATTGAATTTGAGAGAAATTGATATGTAATTGATTTGTTATTATTCAAGAGGCAAAGCCACAGATTTATAGTTACAAAAGCATCCTAATATGGTTCTACGATCAAGCTATATCATTCACAAATAAGGAAAGGAATGATTTACAATATTCACAGAATCCACATTCCATTCTAAGCTCGATCTCCTTCAACACTCCCCCTCAAGTTGGAGTGTATGTTGATGACACCCAACTTGCTAAGTAGCACTTCAAACTGTGTCGAGCTTAATGGCTTAGTGAACAAATCGGCTGGCTGATTTGCAGTTCGAATATGAGCTGTCCGAATCATCCCTTTTTGAATTTTCTCTCGAACCAAATGACAATCTATCTCTATGTGTTTGGTTCTCTCATGAAACACCGGATTCGATGCTATGTGTATAGCCGCCTGATTATCACAAAACAGAGTTACTGGCTGCGTGTGATCAACTCCCAAATCCTTCAAAATGCTCTTCAACCATGTGACTTCGCAGCAAGTAGCAGCCATGGAGCGATACTCGGCCTCCGCACTTGAACGTGATACCGTTGTTTGTTTCTTAGTCTTCCAAGAGACCGGTGCTTGCCCAAGTAAAATGCAGTACCCCGTGATTGATCTCCTTGTGTCTTTACAACGTGCCCAATCGGCATCACAGAATGCCCGCAATTGGAGTGACCCTGTAGATGGTAGTAGAATTCCTTGACCCGGTGTATGCTTAATGTACTTAAGCACTTTATGGGCTGCTTCCAAATGTGGTTGCCGTGGCTTGTCCATGAACTGGCTCAGTACATGTACGGCATAAGTCAGGTCTGGTCTAGTTATGGTCAAATATATCAACCTGCCAACCATTCTTCTGTACGATGAAGCATCATCCAGTAATTTTCCATTGAACTGTGAGAGTGATAGATTCTGTTCCACTGGGAACCGAGAAGGTTTGACACCTAAAAATCCAGCATCATCCAAAATCTCCAAGGCATATTTACGTTGCGACAAACTGATTCCATGCCGTGATCGGGCAACTTCAATGCCAAGGAAATATTTCAACTGCCCCAAATCCTTAAGCTTGAACTGGTTAGCCAAGAATAATTTCGTGTTCTCTATATCCTCCAAATTGTTCCCTGCCATTATGACATCATCAACATATACAAGCAGTACTAGGAAGTTACCTTGACGACGACGGACGAACAGAGAATAATCGGATCGTGATTGTTGGAATCCTGCGGCTTTGAGGGCAGTAGACAGCTTGATAAACCACTGTCTAGATGCCTGTTTTAAACCGTACAACGACTTGTGCAATTGACAGACCCGATTCTCCCCCTTTCGTCCGAAACCAGGAGGCAAGGACATGAACACCTCCTCATCAAGGTCACCATTCAAAAATGCGTTGTTCACATCCAATTGGTGGAGATGCCAGCCACGCAGGGATGCCACACTAAGGAGAACACGGACTGTCACCAATTTGGCAACCGGGGCAAAAGTTTCCTGGTAATCAATGCCTTCCACCTGACTGTAACCCTTTGCCACTAAGCGAGCTTTGTAGCGTTCGACCGTGCCATCGGCCTTCAATTTCACCTTATATACCCACTTACAGCCAATCGGTCGTTTATGAGGGGGCAACGACACCAAGCTCCAAGTCCCATTAGCCTGTAACGCATCAATCTCAGATTTCATGGCGGTACGCCATTGGGGAATTTGGACTGCCTGAGAGAAACTCGTAGGTTCTTGCAGAAGGGTAAGTTGGGCAAGATATGTTTTGTGAGAGTGAGAAAGTTGAGCATAAGACAAGGACTGAGAAAGAGGGTGAGCCGTACCTGAAGGGATGACCAAGTTCGTGGAAGACATCGGTGTGGTCCTTGAAAGGAGGCCAGGCTCGATGTGGAAGTCTCACAAATAAGCAGGCGGGGTGCGACCGCTGCGACGGGGAGCGATGGTGGGAGATGTGGGCGACGGAGATGGGGAAGGAGAAGGCAGCTCGATGAGGTCTGGATTGGGGGATGAAGAAGGCAGATCCGTGAGGTCTGGGGTAGGTGTGATGGGTAAAGTGGGGTCAGATGGGCTGGTGGGTGGAATGGGCCCAGCAGTGGGGGAAGGCAGATGGGCTTGGGAGAGGGAGTCCATGTCAAAGTGTAAGAACGGGTCAAGGTGAGGGGAAGAAAGGTTGGGCAAATGGTGATGAGGTGGTGACGCAGCGGATTGGTGAGGAATAAGAAAAGGAAACACATTATGTGAATATTGTAAATCATTCATTTCCTTATTTGTGAATGATATAGCTTGATCGTAGGAACCATATTAGGATGCTTTTGTAACTATAAATCTGTGGCTTTGTTTTGTTGCACTTGGTGCACTTCAACTCACCCTTTTCTCCTTCGAATGCACGGCTAGAATTCTTCACGGCAAACACGGCCGCATCCGGTTGTGCCTGAGCTTTACCCGCTGTCACTTCCAATTTGACAGAATCAACATTCCATTCTAAACTCGATCTCCTTCAACAAATTTAAACTTGGGATTTATGATCTCAAAATTCCATGTTTTTTTTCCACGCAAAATTTCCAAATTTCTATGTTTTTTTATCCAAACACCGGAATTGGTTCATGTCAATTTAGAAATTCTGAGTTTTGTCAAAATTCCAAGTTTATTTTCCTCATCCAAATGCACCATTAAACTTTTAAACCTTTTAAAAATCTTTTAAGATCTAAATTGAATACGCCTATGTAAAATCCTAACCGAATACACCACCAAATAGGACATAGCAGACTCGAAGGGCGTCACTCTCTCTCTCTAAACCCGCCTTTCCATTTCATTCAAACGCCTTTCCATAAACACTAACTAACAGTCTCTCTCTAAAGTGTAAAGCTACCGCCATTCTTTCCTACTTCTTGAAATCGAACTCTCTCTTTGTCTCTCTGCAATGGAAGACGAAGATCCCGTGAAGCTCTATATGAACCTCGATAACTGGCAAGGCCCTCCAACAGAGCCAGATGAATTTCGTCCCTCCTCGGAAGACTATCAGTCTCTCTCTTCTTCCTCCGATACCCGCTTGCTTGGTTTCGTCAACGCCGACATAGTTGGAATTCAATGGTATTTAGGCACCATCAGTGGCCAAGAAATGGTGGTTCTTGTCCGCGAACCCCTTAATTTTCAAGATTCCAACGCCATCAAAGTCTTCAATACCACCACCGTTCAAGTGGGTCACATTGAACGCCGCGTGGCGGCCGCACTAGCGCCGTTGATTGACTCGAGTTTGATTGCGGTGGAGGGCATTGTTCTCAATACGCGAGCTGAGGGCAATGGGCCCAAGATTACTTGCCAAGTTAACATCTTTTCAAGATTTGAAGATTTTACCTCTGTGAAGTCGGCAATTTCGCAATCTGGGTTACATTTGGTGGTCAAGGAGAAGAAGGCGGAGAGGGCAGGCAAGAGCGTGGATGAGATTTTCAAGTTGCTGGATGAGAATGCGAACAAGAATGGTGTTTTGAAAGCTTTGGAACCCCCAGCAGAAGTGATCAAAACGGAGCTTTTTGTGCACCAAAAAGAGAATTTATGTGTATTTGCATGCAGGATCTGGAATTAGCTAAAATTTTGGTAAGGCCATCTGGGTTGTTCTTGGAAGACTTCATGACCAAAGAATGCCAGCTAACAGAACCGAAGTTCGGGTCAGTAACTAGGGTTTTTGTAGTGTGCGAAGGAGATGAAGTTGTCAAAGAAGAATTTCAACGGTGGATGATTGAGAATGGTCCGACTGCACAAGTGATACTGATTAGAGAAGCCGGTCATATGGTCATGCTCTCAAAGCCCGAGCAACTTTGTGGATGCTTATGTGAAGTGGCTGAGAAAATATCGTAATGCTTGTTTTAAACCTTTCAATAAATCCAAAATCTGTTGGCTTTGTGGCCAGAGACTACTTTACAGCTTTGTTTTTTGGCGAGTAGTGTCAAGCTATGCATATAACTTATAAGTGGGTGCCGCCACCCAGCTGGCAAGTAACTTAAAATTTTCCATTTAAGGGTTATGGAAGTCGGTAAGAAAAGTTAAAATGGGGATTGCATCTGCTTTAGTTGTTTTGATACAAGTGGTACTAGCAGAGGCGGGAGCCACCACCCGGAAGAAGAATGATGAAGTGATTGAAAACCTTATCGTGAAAGAACTGTGTGGTGGTGGTGGACATATTATATTAGCCATGTTGTGTTGTCTATGTCTAATAATGCTAATGCCTGCCCCCTCTCTTCTGTTTCCCATCTTCTTACTTAGGACGATGATGTTTAGTTGGGCTTTAGCCCGGTCCATATCCTCCCCCTAACGCTAGGAGTGCACATACGTTGCAAGAAAAACAAATTCAATGGAACTTGTCTACCTCTGCGATCTCTTTCATTTTTTTTCATTGGTTGGGCTTTAGCCCGGTCCATATCCTCCCCCTAACGCTAGGAGTGCACATACGTTGCAAGAAAAACAAATTCAATGGAACTTGTCTACCTCTGCGATCTCTTTCATTTTTTTACATTGGTTTGTCTGAAGTTGCATGCTCTGCTGACGTGCGTGGGTATGAAGAGTCATATTGAAACGCGTACGTACGTTATGTGAGAAAAAGAAGATAGGCAAATCTTTAAGATTCCATTTGGGGTTGTTACAAGTCTCATTCTGAGTTCTTATATGGTCAATTCGAAGCATCCCAGTGAGGTCCTTTCTATTTTCCTTTTGTATGATTCCCGCAAGTGTCTGTTTGGCCGTCATTAGGTTGGTGAGTATATCCCACCTGCACAAACATACGAGTTGTACCAACTTACATAAAAAGAATTCATGTTAAGTTCAAACTTAGTATCACATATAATGAACAATATTGAAACTCAATAGTGAATAATAATACAACTCCATAATATATAACCACAAAAAAAATATAAAAAATTACAACTCTATAATAAAATAATAAATAACATTAACATGCCTAAATTTATCCTTAGGAATTACACCAATTAGGTTGTATTACTTTCTTGAAATTTCTTCATATATAGTCTAATCACACAGAGACAGACTACTACTAGCTAGTATGCCCTGAATCATTTTCAAGAATATTTCTCAGCAATGTCTTGGAGTTCGGAGAAGAGCTCCACTGGTCTAGAGAGCATGACCATGTGATCAGAACCCTTAATCACTTTGACTTCCTCTGGCGGATTGTTCTTGATCATAAAATTTTGCACATCCAACACTATTGCATGGTCTTGCTCGGCCACAATGAATACTCTAGGAACCGATCCATAATTCTCCTTGGTGAGCTTTATTTGATCAAAATCAAAGACGGGAGAAAATCTTACCAACGAGTAACCTAGTGTTAAATCCTGTCCATTAATAAATCACGAAACAAAAAGTTAAAAACAACAAAAAATAAAATAAATAAAAAACTGCGACCCAATTTAAAAATAATAAAAAACAAAAACAAATATTTATTATTATTATAAAAAAAAAAAAAAAACTCACCTCTGGTGGCGAGAGCTGATAAAAGTTTGACGCCATGACCTTGGGCCCAAAGCGAAAGGAGGTTGCAGGACTTTTGGGTCCGTTGTCATATCTATATTGAGTGTCCATATAGTCCAATCTTTTGTTAATCTGTACATTTTTTGAGCATATCGTTCGTTAATTACTCGCCAGGAATCACAGAAAGAATTGAACAACAATGGATATATATGGTGCTGCGACTTGAGAGAGAGAAGAATATTATTCATACCATATTTATTGTAGGTGTGTGCTTGTGAATTCATTACCTCTGCAAATATAGTTGAATAACTCAAACTAAGACCAGACATGAAAGCCGTGGCATATACCCCAGCAACAATTTTCTCAGGGAACCTCTCCATGAAAATAGATATAACAGCCCCAGTGATGCTGTGAGCCACAAGAATGACCCTCTCCTTTGGTGGCAAAGACACCATGAGCTTCGTCAACGGCTCAACATATTGCGACATCGAATGGAGTTGTTCCACCTGAATTGGGTTGATCCCAGATGCTCCCAAGTCTAGGGCTGTGACATTATGGCCTGAATGTTTCAACAAAGTTGCCACCTTATACCAAGACCATGCTCCGTGACCAGCTCCATGAATCAACACAAAATGCTTCTTCCCACTCGGGTTGGGTGGGGATGGCGATGAAGAACAAACCCTAGCCAAGAAAAAAAGCAATAAAAGAAAAAATAGAAAAGACTTTTTCTCTTTTTCTTTGATGTGCTCCATTTTCCTTATCATTAACATCTTCTCCTTCCTTTGGTTTGCATTTGCTCTCGTCTCTTACTTGTATATAAATTATTCTTATTCGCTGTCTCCTCAGACAACTTGGCATTTGAAAACGACTAGAGAGCTCTGTATCTGCAACAATAGGGTTCAAAAGATTTGATATTTCCTTCGAAGTTGCTAGCAAAATCCTAATTTCTAACTACACTTTTGTCAAGGAGCAAACAGTACCACTAGCTAGCGCCGTGAGAAACTGGCACTCCAGCACCCTTTTTTTTTTTTGGGACGACAAAACAAGCAAGGCGGCCAGCAAATCAGAGAACGGAGGAAGAAAATACTCTATTTTCTTCTTTATAGCCACAATTTCTTGCCTTTATCTGAACTCCTTTCAAATACGGAGGGCGGCGGCCGAATTTGACTTTTTGAATACTAAAAGTCCTAATTGAATATCATTAGCTTTTTATGGAAAGTCCTAATTGAATACCTCAACACTTTAGACTCTTCTACACTGATGAATACACCTAAATTTTGTATTAATGGGGTGTTCCCAAGTGGTCATGGCTTCAAGTCTCCATAGTACTCGTGTGTGAGTTCCCACCATCCTTCCTTTGAAAAAAAAAAAAAAAGAACAGACCTAAATTTTGCAATTACATAAAAGTCTTTGAAAGTCTATATTCAATACACCCTATAATATTTAATTTATTTTTAGCACAAGAAATAGTCTAAACTACATGGGAGGAGGATTTCTCTCTCACACACAACTAAGATGTCATGGGGGTTCTAACTTGAGACATCTAGTCTTAAGTCAAGAATTCACTTTTGGTCCTTGTAGTTTACCTCTTTTTCACTTTTCGTCACTACAGTTTTAATTTAGTCAATTGTGCCCCTGTAGTTTCATAATTGTAACAATTCAAGGACAAATCACGAATTCCGTCAATTTCTTTCCCGGCACCATGAGTATTTCTGTCCATTTCTTAAAAAAAAAAGAAACTTAAATGTAATTTTTTTAATCGCAAACAAGAAACAAGCAATTGATTTGTCATTGAAATGAAATTCCCTGGTAGTAAATAATAATAAAAGCATCGATTTGACCCCCTATCTCGATTCGATGCTTACTTGGATTGACCATAGTCCACATCACGTTTATATCTCCACAATCACCAACTCACTTAGGCCACCTTCAAGAATTACCTCGAAGACAATATAAGCCTAGTTAGAACTTAGATTCCTCAAAGGCAAACAATATCAATCCTTAAAGGGATTAATTCACAACATAACTGTCCTCTAATATTGAACAACTAAATCTGTCACAAAAATACTGAATTTCATCTTCCAAAGTCAATCTCAAAATCAATTTAAAAAACCTAACTCATGTATTCCTCAATAAAGTTCACAAATTCCCCTTAACTTTGTATCAAACTCAACAATCCACAAAACCTTAAGAGTATAACCTCTAAAACAGATTTCTGGAAATCAAATATCTTAAATATTTACCTCAATCCTCTGAATTGGTATGAGATCCTCAATTTACCTCCCAAGAAGAACAACCACCAAAACAACACTTGGAAACAAGAAGCTTGTTTCAGTTTGTACCACTTCCTAGAAGGATAAACTTGTTGGATGATCATAAATTTTGGATATGCTGTAGAGAACAGAAGTCTCAACAACTTTCATCAAAGAATCTTTCTCATCTGAGCAAGAGAAATCGATATGGAAGACAGAATACAATACATCAACACATCAGACAATGATGAACTTGTTACACTCCTACAGAATTTTGGGATGGTTATACTTCTTGGATGAAGCTAAAATTTTGAAAGATCATGACCAAGACATAGCTAAACAATGTTCATGAAAGAAACGAAGCCATTAGATCAGGAGACGGCTACATGAGAGTGAATATGTTCACACTAGTGTGAAACCAGTAAACAAAAAGAAAGAGAAGACTAATCTCACCTTGAACACGATTTCAGATGGTTAGAGAAACCCAATGGTCCTACCTTCGGGATAAGTTGTAGCACTTGACCTTAGGAACAACTTGTGTGAAGGAACATAGGTGAAAAGAGTAATGAAAACTCGCATACAAAGCCAAATATGTGCATAACACAGAGTACCGGGTAGAGATATTGAGCTGTTCGTACTCAAACTGAGTTTTAGATGTTTATATTTCTTCGATTGGGCTAATTTTCGGATATGTTGTAGTAGACAACCAGATGAACAACAATGGAGAAGCAAATATTTCGATTGGAGCCATGAAGAATAAAGTTTAAGACATATGAAAATATCTGACGGGTTTGGAATACTGTGATTAGTTGGGAGAGAATTCTTTGGGAAGATGCGGGAATAATTTGTGTGGGAGTTCCCAAAACTATTTCTACACAAAAAGTGCTCTAAATCCCAATATCTCCATGGGCAAAATTATAATTTTAGAAAAAGTAAATTAAATGAAACGACATTTTAGGATGGAATGTTACGCGTAATTCCTCAAATAATTCCCAATTTCACTAGTCACCTCTCATCGGCATATAAACCAAATTATAATCACCAATCATCAATAAGCATATGTGAAAATTAATTAGAAACAAGATTTACATGTAGTACTTTATGTCACGTTAACAAGACATGATACGACCATAGTTAAAAGGATGAGTCATGCTAGGGATACCAACTTTAGATACCAACTTGTGTACCAACTCTCTAATAGAGGTGGAGCCCACCAATACAATGGGTCACAT